TGGGTTCATTGTCAGCATAGTACACCTCTCCAGGGTCACTATCTGAATCCAGTGAGTCCCCATAGTCAAACTCCCCAGCAAGGATTCCCTTTACAGCTTGGGAGTCCGCAGTACCAGCTTCTGGTACGGCTGGAGAATTGTCCAGGTCTTTTAGGTTCCGGGTACAGGTGGCAAGCACTTCCAAAACTTTGGCAGGAGCAGTGTTCGCAGCTAACAATGCTTTTTCGAACATTTCAAGGTCTTCTTTACGGACTATAGTGCCATTAGAAGCAACGGCACAATCCACAGGTAAAACCTCTTCGGGCGGGCAGGAAGTAGTGGTGGTATCACAGGAAGCAACTTCGGGAGTAGATGCAGGAGGCTCTGGAGCAGGGGATGGAGGTTTTCTCGCGGAAGCCAAGCATGTGCAAGCACAACGGCTTCTATTTGGCTTTGTAGGCTGGTATGCGGTGTACACAGGGCGAAGGAAACTAGTACCAAGTCGGAGAGCTGGAGGTCTAGGAGGGCGAACAGGACAAAGCGTGATGAAGTGCCCTTTTTCTCCACAGTAATAACATAGGCCATGGCTTCTCCTTCGGTCTTTTTCCTTAGGTGTCACTTTGCAGTGGACGAGTCCTAATTGCATAGGTTCCACAGGGTCAAGTGGAACACCGGATACCTCTGGAGTTTTCCTGGGAGCTGGAACATAAGGAGGCATTTCTGGGGCGTAGTGGTGGTACTCGGTTTCTTGGTTAGGAAGAGTCTGAGATTTTTTTAGTACGTGGAGCTGACTTGGCCACAGTGGTCTTACATTGTGAGTCCATAGCAGTACTAAAGGATTCCCAGCTGACCAGGACAGGACTCTTCGTCTGCAACATTTGGTGAGCCCAAACTTTGATGCGTCCAGACAACAGGTTGATAGCCGCTCTGACCCTGACGAATTCTGTGGCATATGTTCGAGGCTTTAAAGAAAACAACACCTCACAATCCATCTTGAAAGACTGAAAGGATGTGCGGCTACCATCAAATCGGTCGGGCATGATGACAAACGGTTCAGGAAAAGCTGGTTCCGGGGCCGGATGTACTGCGCCTTTAAGGAATAAAATTTCTTGCTGCAGCTCCGAAACAGTCTGGGCCAGGCTGGACACACGCTGGGTCGAGGGTGAGCACATCTCTGCGGACTCCATAATGGTCAAGTCCTTATGTCAGGGTCTTACCTGAGTTGGGAGTCTGTAGCGCAGATATGATGCTCACCCTTGCAGATAGCCACAGGCCGAGGTGGTCAGGTAAGAATTCACCTGGCCTGTGGGTCTGTGCACGGGGGCTGTGCAGGATGCAGTACCAATACGCAGGACAGGCAAGGACTAAACCAGCAGGATGGTCGAGGGATAGCCGAGGTCAAAGGATGCCAGAGGACAGGAACAACGAGGAGTAGCCGAAGTCAAGGGATGCCAGAAGTCAGAATAAACGAGTCAGGAAGCCGGGGTCAATAATGCGAAGCGATGAAACAGGAACACTAGAACAAACAGGATCAAAGACTTGACACTGAGCACAGGGCGAGGCTGGGTTTAAATACCCTGCTGATGACTGATCAGAGTCAGGTGAAACACAGCCAGGTCAAGGTGCAGCCCCCAGAGTAGTAGCCATGTCAGGATGAACAGGACTGGAATCAGTCTTCACTGTAAATAGCTGCTGTGGCTCAGAGGTAGAAAGCAGGACCAGGACTGAGAAGATCCCCGGTTCAAGTCCCCTGTTGGGAACTCCAAGAGCGACCACGTCTTGCCGTCTGTCTATCAGGTGAGAACCGTGACACATAGCAAGTTCAATTAGTCATATGTTTCCAAAACCAGAACAGACCCTACAATCAAAAAGGTCTAGCTACAGAGCGTTTAGCTCTGCCCCTTCTTCTTTCCAGTGGGAAAGGCCAGAACAGAACAGATTTTACCCCTAGTTGGGTGTACCTCTAGTTCCTGGACCCAGGATCGGAATTCATCAACGGGACACCCCAATACCCACTGCGCAAAATCTGATGGTCTCCTGGACAAAGAAGGCCAGTGGCGCCAAGACGAAAGGAGGTCCACACAGTATCTGTCCAGGGGCGTTGCCATGGAGAGGTGGGTGAAATATCACCATCTCCGCGGTCTCTGTGATGATTTCCTGGCCAAAGCACCAGAAATGTAATAGCAGAACTCTGAAGAAGCCACGGACAGAGAGTCCGGACGCAGGTCAGTTCAGGAAGCAAAGATCTTTATTTTCACCGATCGGGTTTCAGCTGAACTCATGTCCAAAATGTCTGAGCACTGAGCACATGGAGTACAGTCATCTTATAGACTATATATCCCCCATCTGTACCCTTACACAAATCAGCAAACAGGATACACAGGATTATCTTATATGGACAGGCAGTATGGAACTTAGAAAATAATAAAATGTGGTTTCAGTTCTTGCACATGCTCAGTACATTGATGACAGTTTCCTGGCTATGTGTAACTAACAGATACCTGTGCTTGTATATGCCCTGTGGAGATTTTAGGCCTAATAAATTTTGGATGTACAAAAAAGTAGAGAGAATAAAGCAGCGCTATAAACAAAAGAAAGTGTCTGGTGCTGCTAGAAAATCACCAAGTGCAATGCCACTCTATTACACTTAAAAACATGTGATCATACAGAAATAAATACATTTTGGGCCCAGCTGAGATCCCCTCACAATTTTAGTTATGGTTACCAGTATATATTATGTTCTTTCAAGTCAGATGAAAGTGGATTTTATTTTGTATTGTATCTGACGCATTCCAAGCAACATTATTATTATTGTTATTATTATTTATAGCATTAACAGATTTCGCAGTGCTTTATGATTATCGAAGATGGGTATCTGAAAAGGTAAAACCTGAGTTGAAAAGTATACCAAGGCAGTGAGCTTGAGGAGTTGGGGTAAAAGGTGTACAATTGATGTGCAGATTGATGGAGGAGAGAGATTTGAGGGGGTAAAGAATCAGGAGTTCTAGTTTTAGAAACAGGAAGACGTCAGGTTATAGATAAAAGAGAAGCAGTTTGTGATGCATTCCAGGAGCACAGGAGAGAGGTCATGGGAGGAGAGATATATCTTAGATTTACCATCATGTAGATGGTACTGAGAGCCAAAAGAGTTAATAAGATTACCAAGAGAGGCAATGTAAATTGATAAAATAGTACTAAGAAAAGAGATTTGGGGAGCACCAAGTGAGAAAGGCAATGGGGAGGAGATAGCACCGGAGAAGGTGACACTAAATAAGCATTCAGAAAGTTAGAATAAGAATCTGGAAAGCACAGTGTTGCAAAAGGAACAGTTGTAGAAAATGAAGAGAGAGTAATGACCTTTAGATTTAGCGGCGATTAAGTCATTTATTTACTTTGGTATGGGACACAGGGACAGACTTAAAGGCCAGCCTCCTGCCCACAGACTGTGGTCCTGGGCTATTGTTACTGTGGAGAGGATTATCAGTGCCCCCATACACTTCATGTACTTCCCAGCTGGACTTGAGTTCCACTGGGGACTGCCTGGACTCATTTTACAATTCTAGGTGAAGATATCCTGAAACTCTCTGAAACTGTTACTTGGCTTTGGACTGAGCCGAGGTCTGGTTCTTTAAGCAGGTATCGCTCGGTACCCTGATCTCCAAATAGAGCACTATTTGGAGGGAAGGTCCAGGAGGCAAAGAAGCATCGGAGGGTACCTGGGGCTTGAAAGAGCTCCCCTCCACAGAGGTCCGGGAAGACTCCTTGTTGGGTTTTAGAATAGCTGCGACCCGATAAAACCTTAACATGCTTTAACTTGAGCACAGATTCTCTGATCAGGGCGATTGGTGACTAGCTTTCCAGGGATATATATTGTGTGGGGTTAAGGGCCAGGGAAAGGAGATTCTGGTGGACATCTTGTGTGCTGTGTCGTTAGAACGTCCATTAATAAAACTGTTTTTGGATGGAGTAAGTTTTGCTGGCATGATCCCCCAATGTAAAAGAAAATAAAGATCAACAAACCGCAAAGGCCGGCGTGTGGCTGGCATGAATGACATCAGTTTTTTCTTTGCACAGAAGCCAAATATAAATAATGCCATTTGTTTACTGGTTCAGTTTGTCAGCTGAGCCCTCTTTGTCACTAAATACACATCAACAAGATGGAGCTCCTAGAAAAGAGGGACATTAGGCTACAAATAGAGTGACAAAAGTATTTCGGAGTCATGACAACAGTGTGTCCAGCACGCAGATATCCATGGCATTACTGCAGTATTAGTGAATTTGCCCTGCAGGTGTAAGATCCTAAAAACTTTGCCATATGGCAATTTGGTGGATGTTCACGAAAGTGTGAATTGCTAGAAAATCAAAGTGAATTTTAAATTTCAGGTCAAAATATCCAAACTGGAAACATTGCTCACTTGAAGATTGTATTCCAGTTTGGCTATTTTGCCAAAATATATGATTTTTTTTTTATTACTTTGAATCTTCTCCCAACACCCAGAAACTTTATACATGCAAACTTTATTCAAATAGTATTATACAAATGTAAACAGGGCACAGCATAGTTTACTAATGGCAAGTATGGACCATTTTATTTATTTGTTTGTTCTTAAAAATGTTGTGGCAAAACAGGGCATTAATACCCTATTAGCATTTTGCTCCCAGTGAAATTAACGGTTTGCTTGTCACGTGCTCCCCAAGATACTTGTGCAACCATGTCGCAGGGTAACTATCGTAAGAATAGTAAACGTGTTACAGTACAGCGCGCAAGCCGTTAATAAGACCCCATCTCATTATTACATAGATAGACTGAGCAGCGGTTTCGTTTTTGCCCATAACAAGCATGGCGCGCACGGTCGCTGCCGTTATCCTATCAACGGGCACCACGCTCTCTGTGGTCCCCACACTCGTAATTCGTACGTCATCACAGAAGCCTCGCCCACTTTAACGGCCAGGCATTGCGAATGCTGTGATTGGATGGGATGCGTTAGAGTAACGTGATTGACGTTGATGTGGCCAATAGCATGAAGAGAAGTGATGAGTGGGCGGAAGTAGGATTAGTGAGGTCTTTGCGTCATGGAAGACGGAAGTGCAGTGTTGTACAGGTGATGGGGGTATGGAGGGGTACTTTTTGTCCATACTGGGCTTAGTTAATGTGTATTGATGGGGGTCCTCTGTCCTATTTAATTTATCATAGTGGCTGTATTTCTAGTCAAATAAACACATGGGTACCAGGAGGTATTGGTTTTTGGGATAAGTTTACGATTGAAAAGTGTTTTGTGGCTTTGGGGAACATCTGTAACAGCAGGAATCCATGGCAGCTGTTATGGAATGACTGGTCTGATGTTATATGTTCAGTAGTGAGGCATCTTGTAACATAATTCTTTTTAGAATGCTATGTTTCTTGACTGATAACAGTAATATGTAGCACAGTGCAGTTTTCTCAAGATGAATGTATGGGAAAATATATTACACTTCAGAATAAAACCATATGTGTTTTTTTTTTGTCTGGTAAGTAATCCTGCACTTTTTTTTTTTTTTTTTCAGGTTTGGAGAAACACAGGAGAAAATGACAGTGCAACTGGTTCTTGGAGTTGGATGATTGAAACATCAATGGCTTTAACAGAGTTCCAATGGACCAGTTTGGGGGTTCGTTTTGGTCTGCATATGGCACTGCTGGTGTTTTCTGGCTCACTCTTGGTTCTCCTAGTTCCGATAGGTAGTCTGGAAGATCAGTATCGGGCTGCTCTGAAAGTGTTGCTGCGGTTTAATTTGTGGGGTGGTGATGGACGTGCCTACTCCTACACAGGACAGACCACAGGTCTTGCTGTAGCTTCAACGGCGTTTGATCTCCTGGTTTTGAAGCCGAAACCCACATCAGGTAATTTTATTAATATTATTGATTTACATAGTACTAGCATTTCTATAGCATAAAATACACCACAGCCTCCATCAGAAAATCTTGCTTAAAACATATTTATTCCATCGTAACTTTCTTAAATTATATTGAAGTGTTTAAAGTGATCAGAAGCCAAAGGACACAACAACACTTAGCTAATGCTTTATTAGTTGCTGTAAAAAATGGCTTGCCCTGTAATATGAAGTCAGAAACTAAAATTTAGACCAGTGGATTGGGCTCGGTTCTCTTGTTACATGCAGAGTTTCCCATATGTGTTATAAAGTGTTTTGTCTTTTTTTTTTTTTTCTACTCTACAGTGCCACCCTATAAAAGGGGTGGCACTGGAAGGGTTAATTTTAACGCTGGTGTGCATGCCTGCTTAGATTACACTACGTAGCCTAAATTGCAATATACATCTAGTTGGACCTTAACCCCATAAGGACCAAACTTCTGGAATAAAAGGGAATCATGACATGTCACACATGTCATGTGTACTTAAGGGGTTAAACTGGCTCATCATTTTGTGACTATAAAATTGAATATCCCTATTTAAAAAGTAACTTTATTACATATTTAGTACATATTTACTGAATTTAAAAAAATTATAATTTTGGCACAATAATTTTGAACTGTATTTTAAATCACGTGGATCAGATTCCACAAGTGGTCTGAAGATTAATAGAGTATCACACTTGTTCCCTTTCCATGCAATTTTAATTTTACTGCTTTTGCAGTATGTGTCCTTGGTAATTGATTTGGTACTGTGAAAATCTTTTCACAATCACTCTAGGCTTGTAGCAGGAATAAAGATAAACCAACACGTCTGAATCATTTCTGCAAAAGTATTAACATCTTTTATATTTTAGATGCCAGATTTGAAGCCAGAGCTGCCCTCAACCAGGCACTAGAAATGAAACGCCAAGGGAAGAAAGACAAAGCACATAAACTTCTCCTTCATGCTCTGAATATGGATCCAGACCATGTGGATGCTTTGAATGAACTTGGTATCCTTTTAGAAGAAGACAAAGACATTATCCAGGCAGACTATTTGTACTCCAAGGCTCTTACAATTTCTCCTCACAATAAAAAGGCTTTGATAAACCGTGATCGGACACTGCCCCTAGTCGAAGAGATAGATCAGAGATACTTCAGTATCATTGACAGCAAGGTTAAAAAAGTTATGGCCATTCCTAAAGGTAATTCAGCTTTGCGTAGGGTCATGGAAGAGTCTTATTATCACCACATCTATCACACAGTAGCTATCGAAGGAAACACCCTGTCATTGTCTGAAATCCGTCACATCATTGAAACACGCTATGCAGTTCCAGGCAAAAGTCTCGAAGAGCAGAATGAGGTTATTGGAATGCACGCTGCCATGACATATGTGAACACAACTCTGGTGTCTAGGGTAGGATCAATATCTATTGATGATCTTCTCGAGATACACAGGAGAGTACTGGGTTATGTGGATCCTGTTGAAGCTGGACGATTTAGGACTAACCAAGTTTTTGTAGGTCATCATATCCCACCTCATCCAAGAGACGTTGAGAAGCACATGCAAGAGTTTGTACAATGGCTAAACTCTGATGATGCAATGGGCTTACACCCGGTAGAGTTTGCTGCTCTAGCACATTATAAACTGGTTTATATCCACCCGTTTGTGGACGGTAATGGAAGGACTTCTCGCTTGCTCATGAGTGTTATTTTGATGCAGGCAGGGTACCCTCCTGTCACAATTAGGAAGGAGCAGAGGTCGGAATATTATCACGTTTTGGAACTAGCAAATGAAGGTGATGTCAGACCGTTCATCAGATTTATTGCCAAATGTACAGAGACCACCTTGGATCTTCTGTTGATAGCTACAGCAGAACATCCAGTGGGTCTTCCAGAGCCCAATCCCAACTTCTCTGGGTGCAAGCAAACTATTCCAGTGAAGACTTGAACGTAAGAACTTGTACACTAATGCCTTAAATGTTCACATCTCCAGGGATGTATTACTCAGAAAATTAATTTCTAACATCCCCTTAATTTATTTCCTTTATGTAGTGTGGGTTTTAAATAGTGCTTCACCTTACATGATAGGCTGCAGTATAAAGTAATGTGTCACTGCTGTCAGAGGCCTTTCTACAAGTTATGTATGGAACTAACATATACATGTATCCATGAAAAGGATTTTCCAGGCCTCATATCCATTTATGCACCTTACATAGTAAAAGGTCCCTGTTTCTGACTCCATTCATGATATTTATTATAACATGCACTTTAGATAAATCTCTGCACACATACACTCTGTGAGAAGATAGAGAGAGAATCAGTGCTTCCAACTATACCGCAAAATCTTGTGTGGCTTGTGCATGCATAGTGCACAAATGCCTTCCTTGCAATTTTATATCATGAAAAACATGAATAATGCTACTCTGCAATTTAAAGGATCACTATAGGGTCAGGAACACAAACATGTATTCCTGACCCTATCGTGTTAAAACCACCATCTAGCCCCCCTTGGCCCCTCATGCCTCCATAAATATAGCAAAATCTTACTGTATTCAAGCCTGAAGCTGTAACTCTGTATGCTGTTTGACTCAGAAAAACAAGCAGTCTGCTGACATCATCAGAAGTGGTAGCCTGATCCAATCACAGTGCTTCCCCATAGGATTGGCTAAGACTGACAAGGAGGCAGATCAGGGGCAGAGCCAGCATGATTCAAACACAGCCCTGGCCAATCAGCATCTCCTCGTAGAGATGAATTGAATCAATGAATCTCTATGAGGAAAGTTCAGTGTCTGCATGCAGAAGGAGGATACACTGAATGTTTGGATGCATTTTAGACAGCCGTGACCCAGAAAGTCAGCCAGGACTTATTTAATTTTCACAGCACTCCAGTTGAAAATCTGGTGACCAGGATTGCAAGAGCACTTTCTGGTCTGCAGATCCAGGGGATATGCAGACAAAAAGTACAATTAAGAGATCACCATCTTTTATATATGTTTTGGTTTGTGAGGGGGGTCACATCCAGACTAGGGGAATCAGGGATTAAACATTGTATTTTCCTCTCCTGTAAAGTATTGCTTTATTCTGAAGCTTATCACCTCTTCATCAGACCCTATATTCCTGAACTAACTGTAAATGTTAAAAGTCAGAAGAAAAACAACTAAAGGTATTATATTTCAGAGCCATTAAATATTTATTTTCTTGTTAACCATGATGTTTAGCTCCTTCAAGACTGGTATTGAAACAGATTTTGGCTAACCCTGGTTGTGATGGGATTAATTACTTTTTCCACTTCTTCAAGGCAAATATTAGAACTTCCCGTATAGTAATTGTCTATAATTTTCCCAGCAGCAGTTTTGATAGATTATTGTATTGGTTACACTCATTGGCTAAGAGCACTCAGTTCACACTATCAGCCAAGTTGCACTGTCCTGCATGGCCCTCTTTAGCTCTGTATAGCTAACTGTATTCTACTAAAGGAGAACAGCAGATGCATGGTATTCAGCAAAGACCATGCTGTATTATTATTATTTTATTATTTATATAGCGCCAACAAATTCCGTAGCGCTGTACAATGGTAGGAACTAGGTCTGGTGTCAAACCATATTAAAATTATTTAAATACTTTGGGACACTGTCAGGATACTTATGACATCATACCCAATACATACCATTTGCTTTGAGAGCTTGAAGTGCTCTATTAAACTTGGTGGAATGTAAACATATTTTTTATACTGTAAAATCAAAACCACAGTCAATGATATTTGATAAATGTGAAAAATTAACAAGATAAATGCAAATTGTAGGCCAAAGCAGTCAGATTGCCATAATAACCATTTTTTAGAGCAGTTGGTTTGTCCTAAATTTAAAAATCACCTAGTTTGTTCTCAGTTTAGTGAACTCTGGAAGTCTTTTATTACAAGCAAATATATTGATCAAGAAAGTTGTTTAGTTATTTTTTTGCCCTTTTTCAAGGGACAGTCTAAATGATAAAAACCCATTGTAGTGGTTATTGAGCAAAGATTTTACTGTGTCAAACTATTTTCAAGCTATTTGAAAAAGAAATTCTGAGCCTTAGCTAATATTAAAGTGAAAGGGAACAATAACAACCTCATAAGAATAAAACTGTTATGGCCCCAGGTTTACCTTTTTAGGGATGAATCCAGTGCTGGCTCAATCTGCCCTTCTACTTCCACTTTTGTCTGAGGTTGGAAGCCAATTCTAGTTCCCTATTCACAAAATCAGCTTGAGAAACATATGTGCTGATCTCCGGCAGTTTTGTGAATGGGAAGCTACTGATTTGCTGAGAGCATCAGCTAACACTTTAAGTCTAGCAGGGGCACTACCGGCTTGGACAGAAGAGAAAGGATAGAAGCAGAGCTAACTGGAGCTGGATTCAACACTTCAGGTTAAACCATACATCTGAAGGCAAGCTAAGCTAGCGCTAGGGACCTTCTGGCACCACACCAACTTAATTTCATGAAATATGCATTAGCCTCCACTTCCCAAATTTTTTTTTAAAAATCATTGTTCAGTCGATTTATCCCCAATAAAAACATGCATGCGTTTAATTATGAATATTGTTTATTGGGGGTATATCTTGCAAAAGTTGCCAATCTCTTGTCTGAAGACTTTCCAAGCCCTCCCCTTCTAACCCAGCCCAGCTTTTCTGTACCTGTCCAATTACAGACATGCCAAAGCAGCTTAATGAGAGGTGCTCTGAGAAATTGCCTGCCTCTTGAGTTTTAGCTCCACTGAGCCAAACAATCAGGATGTAACAGGACCGGTTGTTGGAGTGACAGCCAAGCTAAAATCTGCGCGTTATAGTAAAATGAAAAAGAGGACACACTCTTCACACATAGAGCACTTCAGCAAGCTAAAATGCTCTAAAATTCTGGAGTGTCCATTTGAGAAACAGTTTTGGGCTGCAAATGGTTTGCTACCTCATGTACAATCATGAGATTGTACAATCTCTCAAACTCTTTGGTATTAATCCAAGTAACAAAAAAATGGCTGGGTACACATTGATCCAATTGCAGACTTTCATGAAAATTACCAATATACACATATGTAGTGGAGATACAGCTGTGGATCTACAGAAAAGAGTTAATATAGTGTAACACAATTTAAAATATATGGATTGTGCTATTTGAAATGCATTTACAAGATGGAATATTCCACGAGAGGTGTTCGTAGGCACTAATGTAAATACTGCCTGTTCTCTGAATAGGCAGTGTTTACATTAAAAAGCCTGCAGGGACATGCTATAGAATAAGACAAGATCCATTGATTAAATACTGTTCTTCTCAACACCCGTTTACATCACATTGATCATCTTATTTTTGCTCTACATTTTAAAAGGGGGACATTCCCTTCTCAAAAACTTTGCATTTGTCTATTGTTGCCTACATTTCCCATCATGTCGTATATACCATGCTGTAGTTATGTTGTCAAGAGCACCCTGTCATCTCCCCATTGTAAGTAGTCAAATCACTTAAGATTATGTTGCCTTCCTACCTGGGGTCTGCAAGGCTATGCTCCCCCAGCCTTCACTACTTCCCACATAGAGAGAAAGCTCCTGCTGAGCAGCTTCCTTTAGCTTTCTCGAGCTAAGCCCAGCAGTACTTGGCTCAAGCCAGTAATGGATGGAGTGGAGGAAGAGCGGGGCCTGGTCCCTAGATAAGAAGCCAAACTGTTCTAAAACCATACTGGTTATTCTGCGGAGTATTCCTTTAAAATCTCCTAAGTTGAAAGATTTTCTTTTCGACCATAAGACAAATTTAAATGAAACTCTAGACACCATTTGTGCATGAGTGTGTCTGATAGAGAACCATGCAAAGACAATCCAAGTTTGTAATCGTGTACCAAAATACATTTATAGAAGTGCTGCCTAAAAGGGATTCTATAGTGCCAGAAATACAAAGCTGTTTTCCTGGCACTATAGAATCCTACAGTGCCCCTTCCCTCTGTGCTGAAGGGGTAAAAAGCCCTTAGGTGACTTACCTGAATCCAGCGCCAAAGTCCCACAGCGCCGGGTCAGGCTCCACCCATGCTCCTCTCCAGCCAGCTAACGTCGCGATCACAATCTGACGCTGAAAGTCCTTATGCAGAGTGTGAGGGCGTCCAGCATCAGATACTGGACCAAAGATCCGTTTCAATTCAGGAAGTCCTTCTAGTGGCTGGTAGACAGGTGGAGCTAACCCTCAGAGGTAATTATTGCAGTTTCTCAGAAACTGTAATCATTACCACTGTAGGGTTAAGGGACTGGGTGCCTCTAGTGTCCCTTTAAAGAAGGTAGCCACTCAGGACTTCCCATCCAACGAATGAAACAAACACCAATAAGTGAATAATAAAAAATAAAAAAAAACAATGGCTTGTTGAGTGGTCTCAAAGAAGTAAATGACATCTAAATGTAGTATGCTGGAACTACATTGAAGTGAGCCTGTTTGTGTAATGTTACACTAGCTCATGATCAGTAAATCAGAAAGCTATTGCAAGACAAAGATTGCCAGAGAGATCCAGCCTTCTTTTCCTCTTAATTTCTTGCAGTAAAATGGACAGTAAATCCACCCCACCATGCTGCTTTAAAATATGAAATGTCTTACAACCAAATTTACCTTTGCTGGCTGTTGCAAAATTTGATATTGTGTATGGCAATGGTCTGTTGAAATGTAAGTTGAAAGCTGTTCAAAAAATGTTGCAGCCTAACTTCCAAGGAAAGACAGAGGAAGATTGTTCAACAAGCCTAGTTTTCCAGTAAGTTTAATAATTACACATAAATATTTTAAACAAAACAATAAAAAGCGATTTATTCACTTAATGTGTTGTGAATTGAAAATCAAATGTATGAAATGTGGACAATAGCTGAAATGAAAGACAGAAAAGCATTTTCATATATCTAATATCTGTGATAACTTCCACAGGGATTTCCTTGCTTTTAATGCAAAATGCATTGTGATCTTAATTTGTTACAGTATGCATTGTGCACTTTAGTTGTGTCTGGCATATTTCAATAGTGTGGGGAAATTAAATTATTATGGTATTGAAGAATTATGGATTTGCATCTTTTTTCCAGTGCAAAAATACACCAACATTGTACATTTCAACATGACATTTATATAAAATTGTTTTACTTTGAGTACGGGAGAAAACCATGCTAGAGGAGGCTTATAATCTCCACCTTATGCCTCCAGTTGTGACATACTGTGTGTAGCTGGAGACCCTGGTTAAGCGTTAAACCACGGTGTAGTAATTGGACAGTAAGAAAGGAGTGTTGTAAGCCTGCGGTTGTGGTGTCAGGAGTCCCAGCAGTCTGTTTATGGATATTGCTAAAGTGGAAGTTTCCTTTCCACATTAGCTATATTAAATTTATACAGCTTTGGACAAGTTTATAAGATGTGTGAAAGTTGTCTGTCAAGAAAAGTTACAAATTAGCCTGATGGCCACCTCAACTGAAATCTAGTGCAACATGTATTCAGTAATACAGGTTAATTAGACTTCATTAGTTATAGGAAGATTTATTGCACTGTTATAATTACCATTTTAGTGGGGTCTTCTGAATATAACATGCAACATTTCAGTACCCACTTAAGATCTTCAGATGAAGATGTTAAGAAACTTTGGGAAAAGGACAGATTAGAGCATAGAAGGAGATAATCAGAAAGAGTATTTTTGCCTTCAGGGTTGATTTTAAAAAAGTTAAAGAAATAAAAGATTTTGTGCTTTAGTGATATTGAAACATCAACTATGCAAAACTATTAAGGCTGTGTATAAAGAACAATTCTGTCAACATTCCAGTGTTATACATTGCTCCACTTTTAGAACTTTGGCACCATAACTACTACATCCCACTGAAGTGGTTATGGTGTCAGGGCATCCTGGCACCTTTTCAGGGTAAGAAGTCAAAAGATTTCAGAACAGTTTGATAGCTTATCTGGATCCCACTGAGAACCTGTCACTGCCTCCACGGGTGTTGGACACAGCTAAGTTTTCAAACTGTTCTTAATTGGTTTGAACCCTTACTTTTGGAGGGCACTAAAGCCACTACAGTTCGCTGTAGTAGTTATGGTGCCAAACTTCTAAAATTGGCTGACTGAATTAGCATGGGATGTCGACAGAATTGTCCTTTATAAATAACTTCCATAGTTTTGCATAGAGGGGCTATGGTGAGCATACACTACTGCAGGGATAGGCAACCTTCGGCACTCCAGATGTTTTGAAATACATCCCCCATAATGCTCTTACCCCTGCAATGCTGGCAGTGCATCATGGGAGGTATAGTCCAAAACATCTGGAGTGCAGAAGGTTGCCTATGCATGCACTACTGCATGAACCTGAGGGCTCCCCATAGACCTTAAGAAATTGTACAAGAAAGGCCAAAATCTATCAAATACATTTCAGTTGCATAGATGCTCAGAGAGCAGGACTTGGGTCACTGTAGGCATCAAAACCAGTTTAGATTAATGATGCAGTTTTGGTGTAGATCAGGGCTGCCCAACAGGTAGATCTCCAGATGCAGAACTACAACTCCCATGATGCTTTGCATGCCTTTAGAATGACAAAGCATCTACACCTAGTGTAGATCTTGCTCAATTCACGCTGACAGACTATGCAGCCCAGAGTAGAGTTCATGGCTGCATAAGTCACATGCTGGTAGTGTAACCTGTTATGACAGGTTTAACTTAATGGTAACGGCTAAGTGGATATGAATACATCATTTTTCAAAGATGATATATATAGAAATGAATTGGCCAGTCATTCATCTCTCCAGCATGCCATCAAGACAAGATATTTGTGTGTTAACCAATAATGTAACACCCACAGGTCCCACCAAGCTCTTTGGCACTGTTAAGTCCACTTCAAGAGACATTATATCTGCTTCACCTCATTAACCCCTTAAGGACACATGACATGTGTGACATGTCATGATTCCCTTTTATTCCAGAAGTTTGGTCCTTAAGGGGTTAAACTGGTTATAGTCTCTGGAGTAAATCTGTTTAACGCTGAATGAAATGACTACACCAGTTTTTAATGTGTTAGTGCTAAATGAAAGTTACCAACAGCCAATCCTCTCTGTGTTGGCTATTGAGAATGTACTAGCCTAAGCAGCTATGGGTAGAGTGTCAGTTGACTGCTTTTAGCCCATCAGACTTTCCACTGCTGGTATCACTAAAAGGAAGTGTGCAATCTCTACCTTAGCTACACCTCCAGTATGGGCTGGACTGTGAGTGCCAGGAACCCTTATTTAATGTTAAATTGCTTGAAAATGGTTAATCTATAAATGTTGTTGGACAGTGAAAGGGGACTCCAGGCACTATATCCAATTCAAATAGATGAAATTGTGATTACAGTGTCCCTTTAAAGGACCACTATAGTGCCAGGAAAACACTTGTTTTCCTGGCACTATAGTGCCCTGAGGGTGCCCCCACCCTCAGGGTCCCACTCCCGCCGGGCTGGATGGCAAGGAAAGGGGTTAAACTTACCTTTTTTCCAGCGCCGGGCGGGGAGCTCTCCTCCTTCGATCCTCCTCTTCGGCTGAATGCGCATGCGCGGCAGGAGCAGCGCGCGCAGCCATCCAGCCTCATAGGAAAGCATTCATAATGCTTTCCTATGGACGCTGGCATCTTCTCACTGTGATTTTCACAGTGAGAAGCACGCAAACGCCTCTAGCGGCTGTCAATGAGACAGCCACTAGAGGCTTTAGAGGATGGATTAACCCATTTATAAACATAGTTTCAGAGAAACTGCTATGTTTATTTTAAAAAAAAAAGGGTTAATCCTAGAGGGACCTGGCACCCAGACCACTTCATTAAGCTGAAGTGGTCTGGGTGCCTAGAGTGGTCCTTTAACCCCTTAAGGACCAAACTTCTGGAATAAAAGGGAATCATGACATGTCACGTGTCCTTAAGGGGTTAAGAACACTTCCCCAAGCGAAACAATACTTTCCTATGATACAGACATAAAGCTTCATTGCCAACACATGAGCATCGGAATGGAGTGACATCTGTTAATTACTATACTAGCCCAGCAATACTTGCTTGCTATATGAATATCAATGTATGCACTGCAGTTGCTGTTAAAGCAAGTATGACTGTCAGATGAGGGGTATCTTTTGCAGTAGATCTTTCTTAAAATGTGTACATTTGCTAGCAATATATAGATGAAATTATTTGTACTTTAATTATAGCTTAACTTGTGTGTACAATGACAAATACGTTTTAAACTAAATATTTTCCTGACATTTTTCTAGGTGATTGTACAATGGGTAACATCTTACACACATGAAATGCTCACTACATGAAAAACAACCTCATAGCACATTAGATAATTGCATTTTAATAAAACAAGTGGAAACAAAACATTTCATTAACAAGATCTGGTATACAAAGAACCAAAAAGTTACAGAAAACATGTAAATAGCTAAACACAATGAACTTTCCACCCTTCAGTGATAGCAAGGCCAGCATTGCATCGTTCTGCAGTCCTTTTTTAACATTGAAGGTTAAATAATATGTCCCAGGATTTAATAAACTTTATTTTTTCCTACAAAGCAACAGGAATTGTTTTTTCACTTGAAATCAATAGATAATATTTAAGTAAAAATAATACATCAACTCAAAATAATGTATTCTATAGTTCCCGTAATTTACTATTTTCAGTCAAATTATTTTAATAACACAGTATTTCACCATTTAAAAAAAAAAAAAAAAAAAACACCATAAATGCCTTAACTACCTGCAAGTGCAGTTGGCATACCTTGAAATTAAGGCTGATACCCTTTAAAGAGCGGTGTAGCATGTCTGCACAGCATTATCCTATTGCATTGTTGGAAGCTCTCTACCTGCATTAGAGGTACTTGCTGGAGGCAGTGCTACAGCTGCTACACACGCTCAGTTGATGGCGTAGGTGAAAACTGTGCACAGCCACATTCTGTGAACGGAGACATAAAAAAATAGATTTAAAAAAAAAAAAAACTAAGTAAATCTGGTAAATGGTGCTGCGGTTGAAGGGCTGAACTACATATCCCATGAGCTCTTGCTGGACAGTAGTTAATGGGATAAGATTACTCCTAATACACCAAAAACACTAAAAGACTCCTGATTGGTATCTTTCTGGTCTGGGAGGTAATCTCTGCAGATGGTTGATATGGATTTGCAGCTCTCTTTATTTTGTTTGCATTTTTATTTAAACGCATTATCTTCACAATGCATACAAATGCATATCACATCTAGCATGGAGGCTGAAGGCGTTAAAGCTTGTTTTGGGTTTTAAAGTAATCTTACCTATTTTACCGTACTTGCGGTAGGTCCTGGAAGTGCAGAGTGGAGAACGCCTATAATAAACTGATTTTCATGTACACTACTATATTCAGTTGAAGTAAAATTGGATTAATATACACACACCGGTGTCTATAGTGTGAATATTCACTGAACAAGGATACTGCACATTCAACAATATAGAAAGGCTTGGTTTGTGATGACCGTAAGGGATAGAATTTATTTTATCCAGTTTATTTCCAACATATACAGGTGTTTGTGTATTTTACAAATCTCGAGTGACAGTAAGGTATCTGAGCTAAAATCTACTGAACGGTTTCTCCACTGTATCCTTTGCTACCAAGTGTGATCAAAACACCAGTAACTGCTTTATTCCATAAACAAAGTGTAAAAAGATGCCAAAAACAGACCATTAACAACTGCCCCTACATTACCTTGCCTGCCTCAATATGAGGGAAATGTGGAAGCTTACAGTCTGTGCTACTAAAACAAAAAAACCAGGACAGTGAACTGGAAAATTTAAACCAAAATATATACTAGATCCCTAGGGGAAGATTCTGCATTCCTGTAGTTACAAGGAGCTGTGGCCATCCTGTCTGATGTATAAGGACACAAAGGGCATTGTTCTTTCACATTTTAACATAGTATGGAATCCCTCTTCCTGGTCACTTTTGCAACAGCATCCGTGCAAAATCTGCATTAGACATCTTTTTTGGTTCCCCTTCAGCTCCAGTGGAGGATGCCGACTGTGTTTGTGGGGTACCATTTTCTGTTTTTGTGGCGTTTGGTGCATTCTGACGATGCAGTGAGCGTGGCAGCAGTGCCACCTGGGTTCTTCCTTTACCTCTCCTTTAAAAGAAACAAATGTTGATGTGAAGTATATGGGTGCAACTTGGGTGACATGCCATGTAAGATGCCTAGATACTAGAATCACACTAATTTATATGAGAGAGAGAGAGCCCCCTGCCACTTGAAAAACACTTGACAATAACACCAAACAAGCCATAACATTTGCTTTTCCCACAGAACGCTCACATTTGCAGTGCTGTTAAAGGACCACTATAGTCACCCAGACCACTTCAGCGCAATGAAGTGGTCTGGGTGCCAGGTCCCCCAGGTTTTAACCCTGCAGCTGTAAACATAGCAGTTTCAGAGAACCTGTTATGTTTACATTGCAGGGTTAATCCAGCCTCTAGTTGCTGTCTTCCTGACAGCCGCTAGAGACGCTTCCCCGACGCTCAGTGTGTAAAATCTCATTGAACACGCAGAACATCCATAGGAAAGCGGCAACTGACGTCAGAGGGGGAGGAGAGGTCACCAGCGCCGAGGGAGCCTGCCGCTGGATAAAAGTTTTAACCCCTTCAGCCCAGCAGGTGGGGGGCACCTAAGGATTATATAGTGCCAGGAAAACTAGTTTGTTTTTATGACACTCTAGTGGTCCTTTAACACCTTTTGCCTCAGAAAGTACACTTAATACAATAGGAAGCCAGTAACCAACATTGTGCTGATGCGCTGCATTAACAACTAAAATGCTGTCTTTGAGTGATTATCTGGCTTTGCATCTCTTCCTGAGTGGTGTTTAAAAATTGTTGTGTACAGCAGATATATACTCCAAGGAATCCATGTATGAAATGGAATTTATGAGGCAAAAAGGTGGCCCATTGTTTAACTAATTTGCATATGCCCACCAGAATCCCTTGCAGCAGTAACAGTACTGTAAATGTGAGATTACAGTAAGAAAAGTACAGTTTCAATTTACATGCATAGAACGGTTTAAATGGACCTGAGCAAAAATGTCAATTAAGGTGGGTTGTGTTTGTCTACAAGTTTTTAATATTGCTTGTAATTCCACACATGTTTCTTGACATTTGTTTAACCCAGGTCTATAGGAACATGATAGGAAGTACATAGAACACATGAGAGTGACAATATATATTTTTAGATATCTCTTTTACTTGGAAATTTGGCAGAACATCTCCCAGGGTTTAAACTTGCCAGCATGTTCCAATGGCAGATAGTACTATGGTGTTTATTCACTCAATATAGAATTGTAGTAATTTGAACATCAAATCACAGAAAATGTGAAAAATGTTGTAGACTTTAGGTTGATATAGCGAAGCTGTGATTATAAATGTGGTTTTTATGATTGAGTGCAATCCTCTTTTTTTTTTTTAAAAATGTGTTGGAGTTTTTCTAAAATGAATATTGTCCAAATGTGACAGTTTGGTTTGTGAATTCACTAGAATGTTGTGTTTAAAGGACCACTATTGGCACCCAGACCACTTCAGCTTAATGAAGAGGCCTGGGTGCCAGGTCCACCAAGGATTAACCCTTTCTGCTGTAAACATAGCAGTTTCAGAGAAACTGCTATGTTTACCTATGGGTTAATCCAGCCTCTAGTGGCTCTCTCATTGACAGCCACTAGAGGCGTTTCCGCGCTTCTCACTGTGATTTTCACAGTTCGAAGACGCCAGCGTCAGGGTGGGGGCACCCTCAGGGCACTATAGTGCCAGGAAAACAAGTATGTTTTCCTGGCACTATAGTGGTCCTTTAATGATTAAACTCCTGTAATATTGTTTTTTTTTTTTTTTGGACAAGGGTAACAGCAAATATCT